CACCCACCGCCAACTCTTGGGCTACTCTTTCTACCAACGAATAGTGGGATTGACCGTCACATTATAACGCCCTCACGGCCGAAAGGGCGAGCATTTTTGGTGTGACGGGGATTCGAACCCGCGACCCGCAGATTGTGAGTCGAGAGCCCTAACTACCTGGCCACGCCGGGCCAATTTAGCAGCGTAAGACTAGAGGGAACGCAACTAGTCATCATCGCCCACCGCCAACTCTTGGGCTACTCTTTTTACCAACGAATAGTAGGATTGACCATCACATTATAACGCCCCACGGCTGAAAGGGCGAGCATGTTTGGTGGGACTGGGATTCGAACCCGCATATTGCGAGTCGAGCGCCCTAACCACCTGGCCATGCCGGGCCACATGTAAGTGAGAATCTGTTAATACTAAAGTAAACCATCAAAGAAGACCAGTGGCCATTACTGGGAAATAAAACTTGTCGTTCTTCATTTATTTAGTGATAATTATAACATGAAATGGAATAAATGTATTTCGAAAAATCAAAAACCTTTTGCAAAAAAAAATAATAAAATATTTAATTATTTAAACATGATAAAACTTTCAAATACTGTATTGTGGAGCTTATGCATTGTAATATTTTTAAAGCTATGAACTATCTGCCTGTTATTCTTTAATCGACCTAATTATGAAACATTTTTCATATTGCAGGCCACTTCACACAAATGGTGTGGCGCAGTAGTAAAGAGTTCGGTGTGGGCAAGGCCAGATCTCGCTTTGGAAAGATTATTGTGGTGGCAAACTATAAGCCGGCAGGAAATGTCACTGGAGAGTTCCAAGACAACGTGTTCTCTCCAACTAAAGATGACCACCTGGGAAATTTAGATAATGGTTGATCTACGTGTGTTACTGTTTGTTGAAATCTGAAAAAAAAAAGAAAAAAGTTTATCCAACGTCATTAGCCATTTAAAAAAAAACTGGTGATTTCGGAATTGTAAAGAATGGTTTATCATAAAGTATGAGAAAATGGTAGAACTGATGTCCTTGAATTTGCGAGAATTGCTGATTATAAGACGTCACACATTTGTGGATCTAGCGTCCAAGAAAACTAACACCATTTAATAACAGAGTGTGAAAAATAAGAGAGAAGCTATTGGTCCTAAGTAGTTTGGACAAACTTTCGTCACAGAGCGATATTAAAGGATTTTGTATTCTCACAAGTTACATCCAGGGTTAATGACGTTTTTCTTTTAATAACTCGTTTTATTTTCTGACTCTATAGAAAGAAAAAAAAAAGGTTAGTTTTCATGAAACAAATGTCACTTTGCTATTGCTTTGATTCTATCGTTGGTGTTAGAAGTAACACATTCGAACCTGGTTTATCATATGCTACTGAAAATATTCTTTAAAGACCCGTATTTTTTTAGGTTATCACAAAGCTTTCTGTCACTTGAGAAATAATATATTCATAGCGATCGATGAAGTGTTGGACGTGGCCTAGTGGTTAACGAACTCGAAATGTAGATCCACCATGCCGGGCCCGGAAAGTAGGGATCGTTGGTTATTCGTAGAATTGCTATAAGAAGTATCCAGAACAAAATAAATGCTGCAATAAAAAGTAGACAAACAAGTACAGTGATACTAGATTTTAAAGCTATTTTCAATCTCTAATTTGGTTGGTATTGTGATCCGTGTAGCTAAACGAAGCAGGTGTATTTAGTGACATCATGTCTCAAACAATGTCCAATTCATTCTGCTGCCCAGCAACCTAAACATTTAGGCACATCCAGCCCATAAATATACCCATCTAACCTTCTGCACGTAAATGAGATGCTGAAGAGACTTGACTGTAAAACGTATAGCTCGTTATGATGTCCGTGTGTGTGTGTGTGTCAGCTTATAACTGGTGAATCGTTGGACCAATTGTCACCAGACCAGGTACGTACCCTTAGAGTGCCCCCGGGCAGTAAAACGTGGGTCGACGCTCGGATTTCTCTACAAGACGTTTGGCGAGGATTCAGATAGGGCTGATGTAGGACTCGGCCAGTTTAGGGGATTTAAGTTGGTTCTAATTGAACACATTAAGGTAACAATGCAAAATAATCCTCTTAATAAAAACCAGAAATATTAGTTTCATAACATTAAAGGAAGAACTGAATACAAAACACACACAAATCAATTGTTTTAGGCACTATAATCAATTCTCTGTTCGTTGGTTGACTAAGTAAAAGTTTTGGTTTCCTTTTGAGTGAGCTTGTCAGTGTCAGTCGTTAACTGATAATCTTTGTGTGTTTGTAATTCTTATTTTCATCGTGTTCTTTTATTCTTGTCCACACAAATTTCGTCATTTTTTTAGGCCTAATATCGGTCTCTTTGCATGAGCAAAGGAATTCTTGGATGAGGTTTTATGCTTGTTGTCAATTGTCTTTTTTGTTTTGCTTCCATTAGTAATGGCTATGATCGTAATGAAGGATTTTCAGCAGCTATCCATGTTGGAATGTCTGGCCATGCTTTCGTTCATATTCTGAATATAAGGTAGATAAACCACTGTGGCAGGTTCTTATCTTTGATATTAGTAGTTTCTGTGTGTTGTTCGAGCTGTTATTTATAAAGTTGTAAGGGTGACCATCGTGTATGAAGTAGTGTATAACGTGTTGATCATAAAACTGTAAGTGACCATGTACGTTTCGTCAGAAACGAAACGTTGTACATAAGTAAATCTATTATTCCATAAATAGCTGTTTCAAAAGTTCACACACCTTTGGAACAATGTTTGTTAAACCCAACTGGGGTATGACATAATAACAAAATTCCAAAGACGTGTGTGACATCAAGTGGAATTAATACCAATCATGTCAGTTCTGGTTAATCGGGAATTATCACTTAACAGACATAGTTCGGTGATGTGGAGAATATGAACTTGGAAAATAGGCCTACTACGTAGATTTTTCAGTTTTTGTACAAAATCCTTGGCATTGTAAACGTGATGCTGTGTGTTATCTCTTAGTGGGAACAGTACTGTGATACCATGAAATTAGTAGCATGATGATCTGTGGTTTGTATCGTATTACCTATAAGGAAAAAAAACAAAAAAAAACCTTACACATCTCGGAGTCATGAGTGCGTTACAAAAGTGACAGTCAAATCCAATTATTTGGTCTGTTTGCACAAAATCCAACAAAGGGATAATCTACCTTCAGTTTTATTTATCTTTTATCTTACATAATAAGGCATCGTTTCCCAACCAGTGGTTTGCACTTTGGTGATGGCATCTTTTTCACTTTCCTGGTTCTACAGTTCTTACCAATATTTTAATTTCATTATACTTTATTAAAATATTTATGGAGAGAAATAGCTTGATGCAGAGCCAAATTTATGACAATATCTCTATTCTATTGAGTTGAACTTTAAAGCAGTGTTCTTTAAAACAAGCTTAGAAGTTTCATTAGAGTTTAGATAAATGGTTTTGTTTTAAATTTTTTTATTATGTTTCAAGACTTATATTTCAATTTTACTGGGTACTAACTGATGGCAATATCAGAGATTCAGATTTTTTCATTTTAGAAAATTTATTATTGCTTAAAAGGGGGTTTGCTGCAAAAACTATTAATACTCAAGGGGTTCGTGAACAGATGAAGGTTTGGAACTGTTGTTCTAAGGTATATTCACTGAAACAAAAGTGAACGAAATTCCACACAAAATATATATTTACTCAGTTATATTATTATGATTATGCTCCTATGCAAGTTATCCCCCAGTAGGACAGCAGTATGTCTACAAACTTACAATTCTAAAATTCAGGGTTCGATTCCCTAAAGCAGACACAGCAGATGGCCCAATGTGACATTGCTCTAAAATAAAGAAACAAACAAACCTATGCAAAGTGTCTTTTTTTTGTTCAGTTCATTTTCAAGTATTAGCATTGTATAACTCATAGTTTCACCTATAAAGATTATTTTAGGCTTAACTTAACCAATTACAATTATTCATTTGAATGTGTGTACAACATATTATGGAAAACCCACCAGTTCTTGCATTACTGAATCTCTCATAAATTATAAGCAAAAGACATTTCTAACACAGGTAGCTAGAACTCAGGATGGGGTGTGATAATTTATTCACTACACTCTTGTTTAATGTGATATAATATCTAAGTTTAACTATGTTTTAAGTTTTATTAAAGAAATATTTTAGATCGAGGCAAAAAAAAATCTATATGATTTAACTTGTTTTAGTAAGTTGCTTATAAAATAGATAATCCTACAGTTTAAGCAAAAACACCAATGTCCACAATATTTTACAATATCAATCTGCAGCTTTTTCCCTTACTAAAACAACTACTAATTAATTTTTCTTTCTAGTTTAACCTTTTATGTGAAGACTTTTCTAAGGTAATTCATTCTAACACGTATGTCTGAAACAAACTAAATGTTATATTATTTGGTAGTTTCTTAGTTTTTTATTGTGAAAAAAAAGTTAATTGGGTGATCGTGTATGTGCAGAAAGAAAAAAAACTTCCTTAAAGTCAATTTAAAGAAATATAAACAAAGTTTCTAACACTATGTCTCAAACAAACTAAATGTGATATTATTTGGTAGTTTCTTAGTTTTTTATTGTGAAAAAAAAAGTTAATTGGGTGATCCTGTATGTGCAGAAAGAAAAAAACTTCCTTAAAGTCAATTTAAATAAACAAAACCTCCAATTAATTCATCAAGAAAATAGTTCCAAATAACTCAAATAAACTTCATAATAGAAAGGAGTATGAATACATCAATAATTTTTTATAAAATTATTTCTCTCTTTTTGTTTTTTTATATGTAGGAACAACTTATTTAAGTAATCAGTTCATAATGAAATTAGTAATATAACTTATCAAAACTTGTAACACAATTTAGAAGACATCATTGGTGCAACGTTTCAGGAGAAAAATAAATAGTTGTGTTTAAGCCTCTAATTATGTTTCACACAATTTAGATGTTTCAGCCTGTAGAATTGAGTTTTTAATTACATCTATCAATAAATATTCATTAGGTTTTCATAAATGACCACTATTTATAAAATAAAAGGATCTGTTTTTGTTAGTTCAAACTATACATATATTTAAAAAAACACTTATTTACTTTATATTTTTAGCTCTTAAGTTAAGAACATCATTCCGTTTTCTGTTATCAAACATTCTATACTTTGTGTAACTGAATCAAATTTACATATAGTAATTTTTGTCTGGCCCACCTCTTCAGTCTGTTCCTTTTTTAAAGTCAACCTACATTTGACAAATTTCTGCCAATTCCTACCCATGAAATCAAAACGTTTAAAACTAAGTTTATCCCTATTCTTGTCGTCCACTGCGTCTGTTTCCCTCTCTTTCATCAACACTTGTCTTGTTGCCATGACAACTAATTTGTAATTATTCACAAGCTTCTCAAGTGCAGCCACTAATTGGGCATGAAACTTATCAAGCTCATTCATTTGGTCCATCAGGTTCATCCTATCCAACCAGTAGAAGGCTGACACACTGTCGAGCAGCAGTAAGGAAATGCTGACATTGGTTCCTATCACGCTGTCTAGGCCGTACAAAGTCAACAGAAGCTGTTCGCTGTTCCAGCATCGAACGATTGTTAACATCTGTAAACATTTCCTGATGAATACGGTCACCTCCTCTACCGAGGGGGAATCTAATTTGGAAGCCACACGTTTTTCAAGCACCGTTACCAGTCTAAGTAGGTTAAAGTGGTGGTCAGTGTCCACAAAAACTACTCCAGCACTCAGACCACCTAACTCGGTTCCTTGCCAAGAAGGTGGCAAAATACACTTTGCAATCAAATGATAAAATAGTTCACTCTTTCCAGCCCCTGCTCCTCCACTGATTTCTACCACACACTGGCCACTCAAGTCAGGAAACAAAGCAGGCTCCAGCTTTTTAAGGGATGGACGTAAACTCAATCGGGCTAAGAGCTACGATCAGAACGTTAGAAAAACACATAGGTTCAAGAAATCAATTTAACACAAAGATAATAACCTATGACCCGAACACTTTCAAAAGGTGGTCTTTTCTTTTTTCAGGTGCAAATTCCAAACTTCCCATTGAAGAAGAAAAGTCCACCTTTCAAAAGCACTCGGGTTATAGGGTATCGTAATTATGATCACAAGATAGAAAAGGAATTGTCCAATAACTAAAAGGCAAACCTTAAAACAAGAATTCACCTCTGACTCAGTGCAGTTTAAGTAAAACTGTTACACAGCACTAAACATGAAATAATTTTAATCTTTAGATTTGCAGTCTTTCATATATGTTAAGCTTGAAAGCTTCAAATGCGACAGTTCTTTCTTTTAGCTTAAGTATGCTGACAGATACTTCTGTTCAAAACTTCTTGAAATGATGGTTTGGTTTCCCGTGTTTGATTCCAAGTGAGGTTCCTACTTCCTCAGAATCTTTATTAGACATGTAATGTCAGAGTTCACCAGTTGTACAAATTTCTGTGTGATGCGTTCTCTACATTACTTTAATAACTTTCTGAACACCCTTAAAGTATAGTAAAGTTTAGTTTCTAAAGTCTGCTTAGTATATTTTTCTATTTAGGTTATAAAAGCCTGGGTAGTTTAAGTTGCAGTTCATGCTATAAAAGTCTGAAGCAGATGGACAAAAATTGGCATCACAAGTACTACACTCTCTTGGTAATGTACTATTTTCCTTGTCTTACATTTGGAATCTTAACTTCAAAATAATAGCTTCGCTCTTAATTTTGTAACGTCTTCATTTTTCACTATCAATATCTGCCACAGTGTTGAATTCAGGAACTTCCCCAGAAATATTTTAACTATTTTGCCTTTTTTTTTTTAACATGTGCTATTTCTATTTCATCAAATATTAATTTCAATTCATTTCCACCCAACTTCACATCCCCCCCCCCCCAGTGGAAAGGTCTGGATTCAACACTGATCTGCCACTTCTATCAAAATAAACTCAACCCTTCCACTATACCTATTATCCTTTGAACTTTACGAAAATTGCAGTTTAATTCATCAATTTCAAAAGTTGCTCCCTCTCTGCTTTTATAAAATCCAAAAAAACTCGTACTATTTAATCCTTCACTACATATTTAGTTATACTGTCCATGAATGTGAACTATACAGAAAAAAAATAAAATAAACAACTTCCGCAATAATAAGTTAAACAACTAAGCACATGTCAGAAATGTTACAAAAATAAACACAGCTTTTTACCAGGTAATATATTATGGTTCTACGTGATTTGTCTTAAGACTAAAGTAAACAGTCTTTAAACTTTGAATACATAAACAAGTTGAGGTCATTAAAGCATATGTTTTCGCAAATATTTCACAAGAGTTATGTATACAATTAAATCAACTCTTCCTGCCCTATTTTTTATAAAACAAGCTTATGCAGTATAGAACATGACGCAGCATAAAACAAGATATAACTACAAACAGAAATAAATTATACGATTATACATATATGTATATTCCTACCTGTGAGCCTGTTTCACACTTCACAATAGGACTTACTTCAGAAGCTACATTTGAATTTTCCATGAGTCAAAAGTCTCCTCACTACTTGCTTTTCAAAATGTCAGATCATCCAGGAAATTGGTCACTCAAGATTTAATAAATCTAAGATGTTATATGAGATATTTAAAAGTGTCTTACTCCCAAATAACAAAGTTTAAACATGTAAGAAATTCATTCTAATAAGTAAATATACCATATCCGGCCGATGAAAAGTATAAACTATTAGTATTAGTACTAATACTATTACTAACACTAATAGTATTATAACTTAGGACTGATGACGATTTAGCTTTGTCAAACAAATACTTAGGTATTTTAATTTTTAATGATTTTTAATCTTTAGTTTCATTATTCAATTCATTGGGATATTCACAATCACATGCCTCTGACTACCAGTACCAGTTTGCTAACTTGTTATTCTTTGTGCCTTTTTTTTCTTTTTTTTAAGAATGTGCAGTCTATATTGTTAGGGTAATGTGAAGTCTACATTATTAGAGTAATGTGTAGTCTATATTGTTAGGGTAATGTGCAGTCTATATTGTTAGGGTAATGTGAAGTCTACATTGTTAGGGTAATGTGAAGTCTATATTATTAGAGTAATGTGTAGTCTATATTGTTAGGGTAATGTGCAGTCTATATTGTTAGGGTAATGTGCAGTCTATATTGTTAGGGTAATGTGAAGTCTACATTATTAGAGTAATGTGCAGTCTATATTATTAGAGTAATGTGTAGTCTATATTGTTAGGGTAATGTGCAGTCTATATTGTTAGGATAATGTGAAGTCTACATTGTTAGGGTAATTTGTAGTCTATATTATTAGAGTAATGTGCAGTCTATATTGTTAGGGTATACTTAGGACTATGTGTATATCAATTATCATGTATAAATCAGTGTTTATT